AAGATCTATCTTGGTCCGTAGAGGTTCGGTTTTGGTCCCAACTTTGAGCGAATCCAGGTGCGATATACCTGGAAACCCAGATTTTGACCTGGATTTGCCCTTTTGGAGGGGATCCAAATGTGGAATGGGGTCAAAAGAGTGTCCATTCGATAGAGCTCGTCGAGTTCTATCGATCTATATCATTTTCAGCCTGTGGTCTCACGTGGAATTGAAAATCGAGCAAGATTTACAGGAAAAACCTGGTTTTCTAGATATATTAGGGTTTTTGGGGGCAATGAAATTACTTTGAAAATCGAAAGAGACAAGCATTGGATACAGCTCATCAAGTTCTATCTTTCGGTATAGTTTTCAAGCTTTGGTCCCGGCTTGGGACGAATCGCGGTGCGGTTTACATAGAAGATGTAATTTTTTGGTTGTTTTTTTTGAATGTGTTTTCGGTTTTTGCCCCCTTTGGAATGGAATTTGAGAAAAAGTAAATAGTGCATTCGATAGAGCTCGTCGAGTTCTATCTTGGTCCGTAGAATTTAGGTTTTGGTCCCAACTGTGGGTGAATCCAGTTGCGAAATACTCGAATCCAGGCCGGAAATATCCTACGTTTCGAGACGATGGGGCCCACCGGTGGGCCCAACTATAGGGTACCTCAAAAGCTCACTTATCGCAGAAAAAGTTAAATATCTCTGCCATATTTTAATTAAAAGGGCTGATTGTTTTACCGCTAATAAAGGAATGTTTATGGCTCATGTTGATAAGAGAAACATTGATAAATATTGTTTCGAAGTAATACAGTTGCTACAAAACAAGAAATAAAACCTTTGGCAAATTATGAAAAAGCAAGATTCGTGTCGCCGCAAAAGGGTTAATTAGGATCGCTTTCATGCCTCTTCTATTATTGAAAAGTGAGCGTAGATGTGAATGAGTACGTGTGACTGTGGATGTGCTTGTATGCGAGTTTCTAGGTCTGAGCTTTGAATTGCCACAATACAACGTAATTCTATATCATTTTCTTAATATCCTAAATTAAAGATATATATAAGTATGAGCTTGGGTATCATTCTTCTATGCCAAATTCATTCAAACGTGTTGTTTGAGAGACGAATGAGTAGTGGAAATTTATGATATCAATATTCTAATGGAAATGGTTTGAGTTTCAGTACTCAAGTTATAGGTATTGCGATATACCGTTTTCTTTTCTACTTTTTCGAAACTTTGATTCATCAATGTATTTGATTCAGTTATAGGTCAAGCAAAAGAAGATTAAAAAAATTAACCAATACATTTTTTCATAAGAATTAGGTTTTCTATTATAAATTTCACATCATTCTCTATAGACCGTTTTTTCATAATGCGAAAGCCTCTTATCATGTGCAAGAATATAAGTAAGTCTATCAATGATTTGTATGTACAGGAAAAGCTTCAATGAGTTTGAATCTTACCTGCATAAATCAATCCAGCATGATAATTATAAAGCAACACACCAAATGTTTTTCGAAAATAAAGGAAATAACTGAAGAAAGCTACATTACTTTTGTCTGAACTTTAAAAACATCACATGGGATTTTTCTACTGTAGTTTATCAATAGAAGACTATGCATCATGTCATTTCTCGAGAGAAACTACACTCTGTCTAGCATAACATGTATTAAATTTTTATCCATTTTCGTTCACATTTGGCGGAAATGAACTCGTGAGTTGAAACCTCTGCATTGACCGTTAGGATCATTCGAAGCATAACAATTTTCGAAATATTTGAAAACATATTTATGTTAATTTAATTTTTTTAGAATTCTACAGAGTATCCAATGAAGAAGTTTAAGGACATAATTTTATCTATAACATCAGATTTTCAATAATTTAAATATTTTGACAACTTTATTGGCGATAAGAGTATGTTTCATCAAGACGTTTCACTCATATGCAAAAGAAAAATTAAGAATACAATTTTTATGGGATAAAAGGATCTGTAGCTGGATGAGAATTCGTTCCGCCTCTTTTAGAAAATTCTACCTAAAAGGAAGCAAGACTAGAAAGTGAACTACGGTTCAAGACTTCATTCAATGCTCTTTAAAAATTAATGTCATATGCCAAAAAGTTCGAAAAAAAGGTATAACACGACAATAAAAGGGGACATTTTAAGTGGACTTTTTCGTTCTGTTATCTGAGCATATCAAATAATAGAGTTGTCAAGCAAAACGAGATCATGATACTTCGACATATTTCCTTTTGAATAAGACTAAAACTGGAAGTAAACGGACACTATATACCTGTTCGTCATACTTGATATTTCTAACAGTGAATAGCAATAAAGAAAGTACTAGTTCGAGTCATTCTCAATGACGATTAGTACTGGTTATATGTGAGAAACGATTACAGAAGTATACATAAAGCTCATATGATACTGCTCACGAGGGAACCGTCCGAAGTGATTAACCGCTTTTGAGCTCATACTTTGAGGACATAGAGGGTACCTCTAGACTAGAACAAACCAAAAAGGATACGTGCCCATGGGCCTCCTTTCCTAAGATATTGAATATTCAAAGTATAAAACAGTATAATGATTTTGAATCAACATTGCAACTATCGAACAAACGAAAAAATGATAAGTGCGAACAGGTTTATGATAAAATAGCCGCATCATCAGCAAATAAACTTCAACTTTTCAGATTCTTCTCTCATCTTTGTCGTTCATGTTAATTCTTCTTACGAGTACCGGATATATTGTAGTGAGTTTTTATACATAGACTAATAATTTCACTTATAACCATGGATTCATAGCAGTGGATAGTATATAGTTAGTTATGGAAGTGGTAAGCTTCAAAAAAATGTTCGAAGCAAAGTGCTTTGCGACAATGACTACATTGAATAAAAGGCGATAAGCGACAAGTCGCAAGCTGACAAACAGTAGCATCGATGTTGAAGCAAATTTCATTGACCGACTGGAAATCACCTGGATTGTGATCAAGGTAACCAGATTCAAACCATGCGTACTTGATCATAGGAACAAATAGAGATGAGGATAACTGATTGTGAATAAGAGAATTTAAGAGGATTATATTATTTCTTTCAGACAAGTTGATAGCAATATCATCGAGCTGAACGTGATCGAAGATGCGTCGAGTGATTACTTTCCATTGTCTATTAAAATAGACATCTAGCGGTTGGATACGAGACGTAGTGTGAGCGGGTATTTCGAGTCGCTTACATCCTTTAATCGCAGAGTAGATGTCCGAATGACGTTGACCGGACCAGTAGTCCGAGAGTAGAAGGAATTTGTTTGGAACTAACTGGCGAAGAACATGATCTCGCCAATACTCGACCAATGATCTAGTCAGTTTTCCAGAAGAACTGCATGTCACCACGACGTTTGAAGCAGAGAACAGTTTACTTTTAATATCTAAAACGTGGACCACCACTAGACAACAAAAGGAAAAAGATAGTCAATTAACTCACTATCGCTCATCTTTCCCTTCGGTTCTTTCAAGCAAAGGAAGACGGGACCGACAAGTTGTCCAGCGAGAGATATCATTGGTTGAATGGTGTAAGAATGTGTTGTGGCGTTTTTTGATCTAACTCGAGCTAAAGTAACGTTTTCGCCTTGATGTGAGAGTGTTCGAGTCGAGTGCATTTCAAGTTCAAGACCAATCTGATCAGTATTGAGGATTTCTTCAGGCGCATAGTGACTCATTTCGTGCTTCACATTTGCCACAAACGAATCGGCAGAGGCAGCGATAGTGGCAGAATCATCCATCTGATGACGAGTGACTAATTTTGTAATTTTTCTTGAACAAATACGGTGGCGATGTTTAAAGACTCGCAGCCAGTGTTCGGATGCTTGAAAGTTAAGAACTGAATCTTCAGTAGCTTTTTGAAGTGCCCATCGTCTCAAATCATGATCGTGCACAGAAAGAACACGCTCTCGAGCTTCTTCAAACTTGTCGTAAACAAAATCGTCGATGATCTGCAGCTTCTCTCGTTTTGTACCATGGTGCTCAATATAATGGCGAAAACGAGAAATATACTGTTGATGAGGAATAGATCTGAATCGATGTTTTGTCGACTTCCATGTATGCCTCTTTCGTCCAGCCGAATCGCGGCAATCGTAAAAGTCGACTACTTTTTTCATGAAATCCAGACTGAAGTTCTCATTAGTCTGCAATTGGTCATCTTCTTCAGTCTCTTCAAAGTCAGGGTCGAGACTTTCATCTTCCGAACAAATAAACTCTTCGTCATCGTTGTCATCGTCGTAATCGAGAGTCGTTTCTAATTCAACTTCGTAGGAGGTACAGCTAGAAACATTGTCAATTACCTTCAGCAGATAATCGGCTAATTCTTCTTCGTGTGGATTTGCTCTTAATCGTCGACGATCTGGATCTTGTCTTTCAGTAATTCGATCGACCAATAGCTTCGTGATTCTTGTAGGATCAATCATCGTTTTGACTCTACATCAAAGTTAAGAACGAACTACTAAACAATCATACTTCACTCTGACGACGAGTATCACACCATGCTCTTATCTACTACAGGGGCAAAACACAGTCGATATTGCAATCTTTAAGAGAACGTGACAGAATGTGTATAATATGCATTTTTTTCTATGCCTTTCACGCATCGAACTGATGTCTATGTGGTGCTTACGTTTATGGTGAAAATTAACATGAATGACAAAGATGAGAGAAGAATCTGAAAAGTTGAAGTTTATTTGCTGATGATGCGGCTATTTTATCGTAAACCTGTTCGCACTTATCATTTTTTCGTTTGTTCGATAGTTGCAATGTTGATTCAAAATCATTATACTGTTTTATACTTTGAATATTCAATATCTTAGGAAAGGAGGCCCATGGGCACGTATCCTTTTTGGTTTGTTCTAGTCTAGAGGTACCCTCTATGTCCTCAAAGTATGAGCTCAAAAGCGGTTAATCACTTCGGACGGTTCCCTCGTCAGTGAGCTGTATTTACTACGTGGTATCAGTTAATAGAAGATTACTTAATGAAATTTTATACATATGCTTCAGGTTTGCTCGAGTGCTTTTGTCAACTCAACATGGACAAAATCATTGTACGGCTACGGAATTAACGCAAAAGGCTATGTACAACTTGACCGACCTTTTCTTAGCAAGCAACATCAAATATTGAGTTGGCTATGTGCATATGCGCAAGTCACTGTCACTTATCAATTGGTGAGTGACAGTAAAACACTACTGGTGACCACCTCTGCTTTGTCTCGAACCTCGTTTGAATCGCAAGTATCACAACTAATCAGAGATTTAACAAGACAAATACCATCCGACTTTCGAAACACACTGCGTTCTATTGATATTATATGGCAAACAAATGCGTTCCCATCATCTTTCAATACTGATTGGTCCATCGAATATGGAAACGAATCCAATGACTACTTGCTGCGAAGTATTCCACGAGCATTCCAGAATAGTACATGTACTTGTGTCACTTCGAACCAATGTCAACAACCCTTAAGAATTGGCCCTCCTGGACTTCTTTTACCTGGTCTTGTTGTTGGTTGTTCGCCTATGGATGGACTACGCATGTCGACACTCGAATGTTTCTTCTCATCAAATTGTATCAACATAATCATTAATTATCTCGAGTACTACACGCAGATAGATGGATCACCACCAACAGACTTTGTTCCTTCTGTAGAACCTACATTGATCGTTCCAGCACTTAACAGTTCCACACCATCAAGATTTTCATCGGACACACCAATCGGTCAACTGATCGATGATCTCTTTATTGAGGAGTGGCTTAATACGAGTACATATGAAAGCTATTTTGCTACATGCGCTCCAAGCATATGTCAATATCAAAATGTTGAAACTCATGATGTCTGGTATGTGATCACATCACTTTTAGGACTTTATGGAGGACTCACTGTGACTTTACGATTCATTGTTTGGAACAGTGTACGATTTTATCAAAAAATTAAACGTCGTTTTCACTTTCGTCGTATCAAAGTAACAATCATTAATGAGTAAATCAAAATGATTCCTCAAGATGACATAAAATTAATAACAATGAAACTATGAGCTACTATAATTATTTTTGTATTTACTATAATCTTCGCATAAAAACTATTCATTTCAGTTGCTAAATACTTTAAGGATGTGGTCGTGGATGAGTGAGTGTGTCGAAGTGGGATGTGGGTGAATATGATTCTGTACTCACACATACATACTCATAAGTTTCAAGAGTATTCTTTATCTTGTTTATTTTATAGTGAAAAAAAAAACTTGTTCTTGTAATTTTCATTTTAAATTTCAAAAAAGAAATTAGTTCTTCAATATTTGATGAAACTTGAGTATTATTTCACCAATACTTTGAAGTTCTTCTATAGTTCCTATAACATCTCTATTTTGATATTTTTCGAATAAATTAGTACCCGCTTTGATGAAAGTTACACATTGAATTCCTATGTCGGAAGATTTTAATGATATTAATTTTGGGAAAACATTTTGTACTATTTCAATTAACAATGTAATTTCTTTACTATTAATATTAATCCATTTGAAAAGTTTTTTGATTGTTTCAATTCTTACAGCTGGACCACTATTATTCAATTTTTTGAATGTAATTGATGGTGTCTCGATAACACTAATGTCAATTTTCGTATATCCACCTTTCATTAATAACGTTTTTCTGCGAATAGGATTCGAATTCGAATTAATTATATTGACAGCCGGCAGAATTCTTTCAATAAAAGTCGAATTGGCTAACATGAATTCAGCCAATCGAGTTCGTATTTCCACAGGCGAAGCAAACTTATCAGAAGCTTGACTATATATCGCATTATACAGACTACCTTTACTGCCATCTACACAAAGAAAATCTGAACCATCAATTGATTTCCAATAACTGTCATGACATACATGATGTTCACTGGTTTCTTTAGTTTGGACGTATAACAAGCGTATTTTACCATCATCTTCTATTACTTTGTCGCATTCTTTATCTTGAATCACTGAAAATTTTAAACCAGTCATAGCTGATATCAAGCCAAGCTCAATAACTCCACCTTCTTCATTTCCTAACACATTAAGAACCAATTTTTCTAGCTCATTTCTATCTTTTATTGATTTTTGTAGAATTTGGTTAAGTTTTTCTTTAGCATTTGCTTCGATCTTAATCTTTCCGCATTGAACATCGTTGACGAATTTATTCGAAACCCTATTAATATAACGTTGAATGCTGATATCTTCCATTCTCTCTCGTACAGTTTCATGGTTTGTATCCAAATTTTTTTGTACTTCTTCTGAAACAATTTGTACCATTTTTCCAAGAACAAACTTTTTTATTGGTCCAATAAAAACTCCTTGAATTAATGACATTAATTGATTAACTAATGAACTGTAAATTTTTTGTTGAAACATACTCTTTTGGTAAGTATTATTTAAGCTGCGAACAAAAAAATTTATTACTATACTTTTATAATCACGTTCAAAGACAATTAAATCAATTGTTTGTAAAGCCGCTTTGAGATTTTCTATAGAGAAACGACGATCGATGATCTGTTCATTAGCTACTACTTGTTCAATTAAATTTTCGTACGCATTTTCTGGAAACGAATCTTTATTTAAGGATCCATCTTTGTTAAGAATTTTATGTTCTTTAAGAATAATCAAAATAGTTTCGGCGACTTCTTGGCCAATATTTTGTTCTTTTGAAAGTAATTCAACTAAATCAGGCATCCCTTTCGCTACTTTTTCTAATTTATCTTTGAAAGCTTGAAAAACCTTTTTCGTTACTTCTATAGTGTGAAGTGCATTTTGAACGGTTTTTATGGTATCGAGACTTTTCTCTGTAATTTGTAATATGTTTCCCATCGTACCACCTTTGCTTTGGAAATGACTTAGGAACACATTGGATAAACTATTGGCAAATGATTTTCCTATCTGAATATAATCATTGCAGCTATTAAGAATACTGAAGGCAATATATTCCATTTGAGTTTGTAATTGATGATTTTGATTATGAGTATCAATAAAGAAAAATGTTTCCAATATTTTTTTATATTCTAGATCTTTATCTGCCAAGTCATCCATTGATGATTCGACGTAGTTAGTAATGTCTGATTTGATTTGTGCCAATAGATGATTATTTAATATATAGTCAGATGAATAATTTAATACTTCTCGAGTACCAGTTTCAGCAGTTACTATTGCTACTTTTTTACATGCTAAGCGTAAACTATTTCTAGCAGTAGTTTCAATAGCATCGTCTGCAACTGTTGCAAAACTTGTTCGAATGAAATTTTTCGTTCCGTTCCAGGTTTGTTTCAAGAATTGTGAAGTTGATCTCGTACCAACTTGTTGAGCAGCTCGAGCTGATTGAGCTACAACTGATAGACCTAGTGTACAAAAACATATAGCTAAACTAACACCTTTTTGTATGGCATAATCTTTCCAATTAATATCTCTTGATATACATCCTCGTACAGCAAAATACAAATCATTGACACTTTCATTAATTAGTGATATACCTAGTGTAAAACCANAGACAATTAAATCAATTGTTTGTAAAGCCGCTTTGAGATTTTCTATAGAGAAACGACGATCGATGATCTGTTCATTAGCTACTACTTGTTCAATTAAATTTTCGTACGTATTCTCTGGAAACGAATCTTTATTTAATGATCCATCTTTGTTAAGAATTTTATGTTCTTTAAGAATAAACAAAATAGTTTCGGCGACTTCTCGGCCAATATTTTGTTCTTTTGAAAGTAATTCAACTAAATCGGGCATCCCTTTCGCTAGTTTTTCTAATTCATCTTTGAAAGCATGAAAAAACTTTTTCGTTACTTCTATAGTTTGAAGTGCATTTTGAACGGTTTTGATGATATCGAGATTTTTCTGTGTAATTTGTAATATGTTTCCCATCGTACCACCTTTGCTTTGAAAATGACTTAGGAACACATTGGATAAACTATTGGCAAATGATTTTCCTATCTCAATATAATCATTGCAGCTATTAAGAATACTGAAGGCAATATATTCCATTTGAGTTTGTAATTGATGATTTTGATTATAAGTATCAATAAAGAAAAATGTTTCCAATATTTTTTTATATTCTAGATCTTTATCTGCCAAGTCATCCATTGATGATTCGACGTAGTTAGTGATGTCTGATTTGATTTGTGCCAATAGATGATTATTTAATATATAGTCAGATGAATAATTTAATACTTCCCGAGTACCAGTTTCAGCAGTTACTATCGCTACTTGTTTACATGCTAAGCGTAAACTATTTCTAGCAGTAGTTTCAATAGCATCTTCTGCAACTGATGCAAAACTTGTTCGAATCAAATTTTTCGTTCCATTCCAGGTCTGTTTCAAGAATTGTGAAGTTGATCTCGTACCAACTTGTTGAGCAGCTCGAGCTGATTGAGCTACAACTGATACACCTAATGTACAAAAACATATAGCTAAACTAACACCTTTTTGTATGGCATAATCTTTCCAATTAATATCTCTTGATATACATCCTCGTACAGCAAAATACAAATCATTGACACCTTCATTAATTAGTGATAACCCTAGTGTGAAACCAATACCACAGGTAAATGCAGTAAGACAAACACCACCGATGATTTGTGCTATTGCTAATGTTGTCATTGTCATTACACTGAACCATGGAATTGGATTTAGTTCATTAATAAAAATTAGTTTGTTAATACTATGTTGATCAAATTCAAATAATTCATCTTCAAGTTTATCATTTTTATAATAATTATCTTCAAGTTTGTTCAAAATAACATCCACATCCTGTTCGTTCGGATCGAATTTTTCTAAAATTCGTCGTGCTTCGGAGTATCGAAGATTATTAAGACAAACTAAGAAGTCTCGTTCTTTTCGACTTTCTAAAAGTTTTGAAGCTTTTTCAATATTAAGACTAGTAAATTCAATCGCTATTGGCTTATTGAAAATTTTAATAACGTTTAATGCTTTTTCAGAAGATAATTTGTTAAATGTCAATGAAAAAAATATATCGTCAAGCGACATACCGATAAGTATTGCGAAGAATTGAGAATTAATTGACGTGAAAGATATCGATGCTATTTGCTTATGAGTATTCTGATTCATATAATCTAAAGCTTCATGTTTTGTTAAAAATTTCATACTTTGATTTATAGATATGTTAATTGTTACACCTCTATTGCATTTTTGAATAAAATCTTGATATTGTTCAGGTTTTTTTGCTATCATAGTAATATCCATTATTGTTTCATTGCTATTTATAAAATCACGTAAATTAAATAATTCATCTCTATTCAAATCGTCCATATGTAGATTTACATGATCTATATATTTCTTATAAGATTGAATAATATTAATGACCAATGTTTCTGATTTGGGTTGAAATTGAATAGAAATATCTTGATAATTTTCCATCATTAATTGTAATAGTTTTATACCTTGATCTTGCTTTATAACTGTATCTTTGTGTACTAATAAATTATGAAAACTTAATTTAAATCTAGATCTGTTAAAGTAATCATTTACAGAGAATTTAGATATACTGTTAATGTTGGAATGAATCGATTGTAATGCCTTATGTCTTTCTACTTTTATTATTGTACTAATGTGTTTTCCATTGAATATCATTAAATCAACTAATTTTTGAGAATTTTCTATTGTTAATATTGCATTTTGTATATGATTATTGTATAAGTCAATAATGTTGGTTTTAATTGTTAATTGCTTTGATAAATCGTCACAATCAGAATTATTATTATTATTATTATCATCATATAAATTCAATTGCATACTATGATACGCTGGTAATATAAAGTTATTAATCTGATCTCGTGCTTTAAGTAAATCTGCTATTGCATTTTCCTTGTACTTGTCTGATTTTTGTTCAATTAATAGATATGCTCGACTAACATAAGCTGTAAATTAATATATTGGATCAAGTTGAATAGCAGCATTTAGACATTGAAGAGCATTTTCTCGTTCGACAGATTGTTTAGTACCTACTGATACTATTTGTCTAACAAATTGTTTGGTACGAATGAAAAATTGATGAGATTTTATAATTAACATATCTGCTTTAGCAATATGATAGAATGGATTTTTAACGATTTCATCTTGTTTTTGATATTGATCTCGAATTTGCTGTTCAAATTCTGTATAATCTATGAAATTATCTTGTTTATTAAAAGCATCATTTAATTTTGAATATAAATGTTTGTCATTATAATTTTTCATTGTAATTAATTCTACTAAAGTATCATCATCTTCATCTTGATATTCAGATACATATTTAAGAACATTTTCAGAATTATTAGTATCAAATGAATAATAAACAACATCGAATTCACCGGCTAGAAAGATTGTTTGAATTGCATTTCGTCTTTTGTAAACTATTGGTAATTGATCATAGTTGGTAAAAACGACTATATTAGTATTGAGAGTTCTCATTAATGCTTTCATAATAGTTTCCTCGATATATAAAATGTTGGTATCATTATCAATATTTGTTAGAAAATCTTTATAACAAGTTTTATTTTGTAGAATATGTTTAATCATTTGTTCTTTTAATTCTTGATCAGTTGTATGTCTTTGTAATTGTTGATTAATAATATGATAAATAGAATTATTAGAATTATTATCAATCAATTGACAACCAGCCATTTTTATATTTCTATCTAAAGAGAATTTTATTTTATCTCGACGATCAATATTCTTTAACCATAAACCCCATTGTTCTTTAACACTCTTTAATTTATATTCATCATCATCAATTTCACGTAAATTACTCAAAAGATGACAAAATTTTTGAAATAATTGATCTTTTAATTTAATTTCTGGAATATCCTTTGTACGAATTTTATACAATTGATCGGTTTCAGCTTTTTGACACCATTCACGTAAATATTTAATCTCATGTAAATCATCTGTTGATAAATTAGGATGTTCATCAATATACTTCGGATAAACAGATAAAAGATAAGAAATAAAATTTTCTATATTTAAAATCATTTGTGATGTACCACGATTACCTTGACGTGATGTTCGACCTAATGCTTGTTGTTCAACACGTAGATTAATTGGCATAAATGTTAAACAAACATGTAATCCTCCATTTTCTTCTACTTGTTTATTAGTTTTTAAATCTGTACCACGACCAGCTAAATTCGTTGCGACAATAATATCACCACTAGTTGCTTGACTATAGATAACATTTGATTCTCCTATATCTGTATTATCTGTATATAATTTAACGATTCCATGTGAATATTGTTTACGAAGTTCTTTAAAAATGATTTTTGCATCGATTCGTGTTTCTAAAATAATCAAAACTGAACGATTTCTATTTGCTTCTTTTATACAACTTTGTACGATAGTATCAATCCATTGCTTTTTATTGTCAACTATAATAGTTGGTAATTTAATATGACATAATGATTTATATCTTGGAATTATAATTGTATCAACTGAATAAACATTACAAAGTAATTGTTTTGCATCATTTGAACCAAGAGTACCTGTTAAACCATAGATTTTATTTTTATATCGATCAAAAAAACCAATATTAGATAAAAAGTTTGTAGTTAAATTAATTGAAGTTAATTTTAATCGATGTTTTAATTGTAAAAATTGGTGTAAACCATCACTCCACATTGTACTTGATTGAATAATACCTGTATTTGAATAATCAATAGGTGTTATGCGATTAATATTTTGTTCATCTGTTTTAATCATATAATGATGATCAAGTTTATATTCATCTCGAGCTAATAATGCATTTTCAATCCATAATGGTAATTGAGAGAAAACAAATGTTTGAAGATGTTTTGGAACAGTTATTTGAGGATTATTATCGAGAATTAATGATTTAATATTATATATAATAGCATATTTATTCAAAGTTTTTTCAAATGTTGGATTATTAATAGCTTGCCAAATAGCATTTAGAATAGGATTTAAGAATTCCATACCTAATATATAATCAGCTAGACGAGCGATTTTATTATTTTCATCAATTAACATACTATCTACTTCATCGATAATTACAACATCAAACGATCGTTTAGCTCTTGTATTTAATAAATGAAATTCATCTCGTAATATATCAAATTGAAAACTACTTACATCACCATAAATAATGGATGATTCATAGCATTTTTTAGGACCTGATATATAGATATAATTATTTTCACCATTGTGTGATACAGTTAAATGGAACATATCATATAATTTGACATATTTTTCTGTATCACGTTGCGCTAATGTTGTTGAACTAGTAACAATGTCAACATGTAAACCTTGTAATGCTTTAATAATAGCTATTATTGAAATAATCGTCGATCTTCCTTCACCAGTAGCAATTTGTGCTAATCGTCCACGATCTCTTTCATTACTATCAAGTAATAATAAAATAGATAACGATTGAACATGACGTAGTTTGTAGTTACTATATAAATAAATAGCACGTTGAATAATAGCAGTAATTTCTGATAAATTTTCTTGTTCTTTAGCCCATATATGATTTGATTTAATATCTGTACTCCATTCTTTTATATTATCTTGATTCCAACTTTCTATTGGTGATGTTGGTTGTATTAATGAAGATTTTTGAGAATAAGCTAATTGAATTGATTGAAAAAATGTTTGTATTTTTTCTTTTTTAATAGAATCTAAAACTGATATATTATTTTGATTTTCATCGAATATTTCTTTAATTAATTGTTGAAATGGTTTTTCAATTGTGTTATTTTCTGGAAAACAATAATTTATCAAAACATTTATTTGATGGTTGAATAGTGATTAAGGGAATCATTTTTTCAGCTATTGTATCATTAATTTCATAATCATTTATCATAGTTAGACACTGATTAAATTGTTCCAATGTTATTAATTTCATTTGTATATCATTAAGCATTAAACTAAGATTAGAAAAGTTCCATTTGGCAGAAAGTTTTTGTAATAATTCATTAGTTTCTTTTAGTAGTTTTTGAGGACTCATCCAAATTTGAAATAATATTTTACTAATTATCAATATTTCCAATTGTTTATTTAATGTTATTTCTTTCTTCTTAGATAATTTTATTATTTCTTTTAGTTCTTCTATTGTTAATTTTTCATTCGAAACTTTATGTAAAAATTGAATTAGTTGATCTGGTTCTGAATGGCAATGCAAAATTGAAATAACTATATCGAATGATTGGTAATTATTATATACATATGTTAATAAATCAATTATATAATTTATAACAGTATAAGAATACGTCAATAAAGAAAAATATTTGATAACATGTTCTCGAATAGAATATTTAATTAAATTGTTATGTCAATTAAAATCATTTGATTTTAATATATTGACAGATACATCTTTTAGAGAAATTAAGATTTGATTAATTTTGTTTATTTCCAATTGATCATGTTTTTCAATAAGAAATTGTAATATATAATCTCTCTCTTCATTGTATAATTCATAACCTTTTGATTCTTCTAATTTTGATAAATTATCATAAAACTTATGGATTTCTATTGAATTTTTCTCTATCCCCATTCGTACAAGTAAATCATAACATAGGCATTCTCTTGACCATTGATTTACTGGATAAATTTGAAATATATTCGGTTGAAAGTATTCAATTGATAGAAGAGTACGAATAATACCTAAATATTGATTAATTGATAAAAGTTCTTTTGTTAGTTTATCTTGATCAATTATTTCTGGTAGTAAAACTTTTGTCAAAAATTCAAATGGTTCTTCAATATAATTGTTTAATATTTGATATTGAAGTATGATAAAACTTGAACGAACTATTAATATATTATCACTCGATAAATTTTCATTTAAATACGGACGAAGAATATTAATTGGTATTTTGTNAGGGCTTTCAGAAAATATATAAATCATTTTGGGATGGCATGATCCAGCGTGGCTAGAGTCAAAATACTAGAAAATCGTGATTTTAGCTAATAGTCCTTTTTGCTCGTAGATTGAAATCATCACTTGATGAATGGTATTGTAGAACATAAGCAATTATCAACGTTTGTAGAAAAAATATTTCTGCATCTTTTGAGACGTGCCGGAACTCGAATGAATGAGCAGATGCAGAGAAAAGTGTAAAATACTAAGGTCACCCTAAAAAACTGCCGTTTTTCAAGGTTTCGAAGGGTGTATTACTTGTATACTATGCCATTTTTCATAGGGAAGTCAGAAAGAGCTAATATTTTGGATTTGTCTATGGTTTGACTAGACCTTTCATTTGAGATACCTAAATCAAAAATCAAAATTTTGTCAGCGGTCGGCTCCTGATAAAGTTGCTAAGTGCTCTCACGGACCCTCTCTTAATTATTACTTAATTTTTATTTTTTCATCTCTTCAATATTCTTCTATTTTATATTCAACAAAAAAAAACGTATAGAAAGAAAATTTTATCGAGAATGAAGTAAAATATTTAAATTATTTGTAAGAAGAAACTTCTTGAACAAAATCTAAAAACTTTTTATATTGGATTCATCAATTTTATTGAAATATTATATTAATATCGAATAAGAGAAATTTAACGGATAAGTTAGTTTAATTGTTGATATCATTGAAGGACTTCTAGTCTTTCATTATTTCCATAAATCCCTTTTTTAAATAGTTAATGTCAGTATTGATGAGATTTTATTTTTATACATTTTTTTTGTTAAATATAAAATAGAAGAATATCAAAGAGATGAAAAACACTCAAAATAAAGTAATAATTAAAAACTTCTATTGATGAAACAATGGAAAAAGAAAGAGAATATAGCTTCTTTTTTCTACTATTTATTATAAACTTAATTTATTTATAAAATATTTCATCCTATTTTTGAAGAGTTTTTACTATCCCAAACTACAAATAGTTGATATTCAAGTTTAAAAAAAAATTAAAAATCTATTCATTTTCTCAAAAATGAATAGTTATTGAGTAGCAATTTATGGAATAGAAACAGAAATAAATGCGAAAACCTCGGATTTAAATCCGAGTGTTATGTGTACTTCAAAATATGAAAAGGTATATTCACTGTGTTTTTTTTTATCATTAAATTGCAAGGAAAAAATACAGGAGTGCTAAGTTAGTATGCACTACACTGTATACAACCCTATACGGTGATCACTGACTCTATTCTCAGAGTTATATTATATCTTTAGAAATCACACGAATTCAGTTCAGATTCGTGTTTACCTTGGAAAATTGGCTAAGAAGAGTTAGTTTTCAATGGATTTGCGTTTGTATCTAACAGGATAACGATCGTAATTAACCTCATCAATCTATAAGAGATTTATCAGAGATGCAAACATCAGTATTTTCCTAATAAATCACCAATATTAATAGCTATCGAATTCGAGTTTTTACTTCTCGATAGTCCTTTTGACTGGCTACAAAATCAGGCATTTGGGAGACCCCAAAACTACTGATAATCTGAGACACATCTAGACTATTTGGTCTCTGGATGCAGTTTTTTGGCATTTTGAGACCTTCTTCAGGCAATGTTTTGTTAGAAAGCTACAATTTGGTTCAAAACTAATATCAGATTCGGAATCAGCGTAAAAAACTGAGTCAATTGATATAAGTTGTAAATAATTATGAGAAAAAATTTTTTTTTTCAAAAAAATCCCTATACGCCCCCTCAGGGATGGTCTGGTCAATAATTACAATTTTTTCGATTACTCAGCCATTTCTTGACGGATCCTTCTCATCTTCGAACTCGGCCGAGACATTGTTAAGATTGAACTGTATAGAAAATTTCATCGCGATCGGACTCTCCTTTCAAAAGTTACCCTGTTAACGGCCGGACGGCCACACTGACCGATTCTAGAGTGTACTCACTTTTTGAGTACACAAAAAAATATATATATATATATTAAAAGAAAGAAAAAACATGTTGCAATAGGATCAAAATAAATAATTGATGCCATTGGAGAATGGCACAACGACAAATCGGTCAGTCGAACGATATTTTTTTGAAATATTCTCCGAAGGTTATATTTATTGAATACTTTTCTCTATATGTGTTTATTATAAGAGTAAAAATTCTGTTATATTCAAAATATATTTTCTTTTGCAGAAAAATCTGTAATATAGATTTTTAAATGTAAGTAACAAAAGAAAATTATTTTCAGTGTTTAATCAGTAATTTTTTTATAGCGTTTCAACAGTGAATATGACAGAAGATCAATTCTTCTATTATTTCATGCTAATAACAGACAGATTTTCTTTTCTTGAAACAGCGTAAAACCAAAGTAAATTCAAGGTTTCAAAAAAAACATCATAGTTAATGTTATTCATTTATGATCGACCCAATTTTGTTTTCTTTTTCTTTTCACTTTGAATAGTACGAAAAAGAAATTACTTGTTTCTTTTCATAATAATCAGAACGAAAAGAAAAAAAAAGATTGCCTGTATCGTATATGATAATGTCAATATTTTGCTACTTTATTTTGATTCATTAAAGAAAAAAATGTCTATTTTGATTTATTTGTGTGATAGACTCATAAATTTCGAATCTATAAAAACAATATTATTGAAGTATTATGTTCGAGATTGTTATCATTAAAACAGCATTGAAAAAAAAAGATGATGTATTTGTGAATTAAATATCTTATGCATTTTGAATAGTCAAATGACAATATATTCAGAGTTTATCTTTTAATTAAATATATATATAATGGCTATAATATATAGAAATAACGAGAAAATTTTCGTTTTTCAGTATAAAATAGTCAATATACAAGGTTGGGCATAACCTTTTGCTAGGAAGATAGCGCCATTATTTCAAGTTGAATTACCTAATGAATTTTATACGAAATTAAAGAACGTTGAAAACTGGATTTATTAGTACTAAATAGTAACAGTTATCAATATATGTTTATGTGGAACTTACGAAATTTTATGATTTTTTTACCATAGAAAGTGAAGGCACTAGCAGATCAAATATAGAGTAAGATATTTTCTTTTGATATTTTTGCATAGTTCGATAGAGCTCGTCGAGCTCTACAAAACTTTATATATCAGAAATTTTTTTAAGCCATTTTGTTTTCGGATAAAAAAATTTAAAAATGACTTGTAAAATCCTACAAAAATCTCTGAAAACTCATTTTTTTATATGGAAGAAAAACACTTGAATTTTTCAATGAAATTAGCTTTTTTGATTATTTTTATTGATAAAGATGCTTCGAAATATACTCCTCCGGTGCAGCGTGAAAAACTACATCTGACAAGTATATCTCGAAGCGTCTTTGTTAGTAAAAATGATGAAAAAACCTAATTTTATTGAGAAAATCGAGTGTTTTTCTTATCTATAAGAAATTGCTGGTTCCTTAATTTTCTATGGTAAAAAAAGGCATAAAATTTCCGAAAATTTCGTAAGTTTTACATTAACATATATTGATAACTGTTACTATTTAGTAATAATAAATCCCGTTTTCTACGCTCTTTAATTTGGTATAAAATTCATTAAGTATTGAACTTGAAATAATAGTGCCACCCCTTTAGCAAAAGGTCATGCACAACCCTGTATATGACTTATTTAAAGACGTGATCATTACAAAAAGAATCAATAGGTGGTCTAATATTTACATGGTAGAAATCATCACTGATGACTGTTTCTATATTGAATAATAGACGAATCGTTAAAAAAAAATCGTAAATGTCCTAATAAAAGAAATGAGTCAAATCATCTCAAGGACGATGACATTTTTTCATGACTCATCAGTATAAAACAATTTATTTATAAAATTGTTACCGAGAGAAACGAGCAAGTGAGACGTGAACTTAGTGTTTACCGAATGTTTTTATCCAAATGAGTACGTACACATTCTTATTCAAAAAGAATAAATCTTTAATTTAAGGTATTTCGAAGAGAAAATTTTCAAATAGAATTTTTCTTTTTAAATCCTGACTTTCAAATAATAAGATTTCGTTTTTCTTTGAATTAGACGATTCGAATCTCTAAAGTTGAGATTTTTTGTAGGTCGAACTTTACCTTAAATATTTATGTTTTATAACAGATGCAAAGATCTCTGTACTTTTCCTCAGAGTACAGTCAAATTTTATGAAAATCTTTCGATAGTTTTGATAAGATAAAATGAGTTTCCAAAAATCTAAATTCAATTATACTCTAGAAAATGTTTTTGAAATGCCTCTTCTAACGAAAACGATATGTATTTTCTGCGTATTTTTTAAAACGATATCGATAAGATTTCCGAAGACAAATTCATCAATAAGAATTAACAAAGATAAATGAATATTCAGAGTATCCATTATAGTAGATAAACAACATTTTTACTTGTTCTTTCTTCTATGTAACAAATTTTAAAACAAATATTATTATTCTTGTCATTGTGTGATTGATTTTTGTCGCAATTGTATAGTTTTAAGTTTTCAAATATTATTAGAATAAAAATCGAGATTTCGAAGTAATCAGATAATGATGATTCTTTCACATAGAATACACAAAAGAGTTACATTGCATATTATTCTACCTACATCTATTATTCATTTCAAAACCGAACGTGATCCACTAGTTTTTGAATAACTGGAAACTTTTGATTTTTATCAATCGAAAGGAAAGATTGACTCAATTTTTTGTGTGTGATAGTCTACAAGAGAGAATCATTTTAAAAGAAATTATTTTCCAAATCTAAATTCCCATCTTAATGAAGATATAAAGACTTGAAATTTCTAGTTGAAGATATGATGTACGTTCTTACTTTTTTATTCTATTTTGATTGAACTATTGAATCTCTAGAATTTTCTTCAAATTAGTTACGATAAAATGTATTCCCAAACTGAATTTGTCTTTTGACATGAAATAAAATACATATTCTGTAGTTTAATCCCATTCATTTTCTCTTTCAATATATTTTCTATAACCACAACGAAGAATTTTTTGAGATAAATCTGCTAAATAGAATCCATGATAGATTCTTACGAAGTTCTCTTTTTTTTTGTCTACATCCAAAATATATTCTTCTTATCGGATTCATCATAAAATTGTTTTTATTATGTTGAGCTAACTGGAGTTATTTTTGATGATACGGTTTTGGAAGAGAAAAACAATGGTATTCAAATAGAGAATCTAGAATTCATTTCATGTCGAAAATAAATTTTCACATGGAGATTTTATTTGAGGGTGTTGTTGTAGGAATCAATTGGACATAAATGATAGACTTTTGATGATAGTTCGCTCGAAATATAATGAAAAGTAAGAATTAACATCGTATTCTGAGTTTTAGATTCGGACTTTTTCAAATTCTATCAAAATAGCAACTCATTTTGTATACATTTTGCAAATAATTACATTTAAAATGATTGTTTATAATAAACTATCTAACCATGGAGGTGTTTCAAGTAATAAGCGAAAACCTGGGATTTGTTAGCATCAAATGAAAGCTCTCAGTACCAAACTATTAGGATTAAAATATTAGCGGCCCCTGGCTTGCCTAGAGGAAAATATTTAGAATTCAAGTTTAGGTATAAAAATGAATCAGGAAAGGTTTTATCCACTATTATAAGGACAAAACATAGTGTTGTTCGGGCCATATGAAAGAGAGACCCTACAAATCCCATAATCACCCCGAACAACACTATGTTTTATCCTTATAATAATGGAGAAAACCTTTCTTGATTCATTTTTATACCTAAACTTAAATTGTAAATATCTTCCTCTAGACAAGCCAAGGGCCACTAATATCTTAACCCTAATAGTTTGGTACTGAGAGCTTTCATTAGATGCTAATAAATCCTGGTTTTTCGCTTATCACTTGAAACACCTCTATTGTAAGAAAAACTCAGTGGTCAAATCTTCTCTTTCGATTCATGAAAATCTCAAGTTATTCGAAAAAAAATGAAGGGAATCTTATTAGATATAAATTAATTTGATTATTCAATAAAAAGTATGAATTTTTCTATTTAAGAATTGAAATGAGTACAAAAGAAGAACAACAATCGAAAAGTACATTTAAAAAGACAGTTATATCATTAAATAATAACGGGAACGATGGGAAACAACAAGAACAATATGATGATAGTTCATTAGCAGCATCATCAACAACTAAAGATTTGAATCTTGAAAGTACAAGATTAATTTGGTATGATTCAAATATTGATAAAACAAATGATACACAAAAAACAATGAAAGAATTCTATGAAATTAATAATTTTGTTGTATTTTATTCGGATTTTGAATCTTGTATAAATTATATTGAATCAATTAAAAATGAAAAAATTCTTCTTGTTACATGTGGACGAGATGCTTCAGTTATTTTAACAAGAGTTCATCAATTAAAACAAGTTGATTCGATATTTATTTTTTGTTTTAAACCTGAAAAATATCAATATCTATTAGAAATGTATACAAAATTAATTGGAATTTATACAAAACGTCAAGAATTAATTAATTCTCTTAAAGAAAATCTTATTCTTATTGAAAAACATTTTGAAACATTTAATTTCTTTAATCAACACAAAGAAAAATCAACAAGAGATTTAACAAAAGAATCTGCTGAATTTTTATGGTTTCAAATGTTTAAAGATGTTATATTAAGGTTACCAAAAAATAATCATGCTAAACAACAAATGATTGAATTTTGTAAAAATTATTATCGTGGTAATGAAAAAGAATTAAAATATATTCGAGATTTTGAACAAGATTATCAATCACATATGGCTATTAAATGGTATACAAAACAAACATTTCTTTATAAAATAGTTAATAAAGCTTTAAGAACTGAAGATATTGAATTATTACGTATATTTAGATTTTTTATTGCTGATTTATCATATAATCTTGCAAATGAATATGAAAAATTAAAAAGACAAGGTGAAAAATTTTTAATTGTTTATCGTGGATTTAAAATGGATGAAAAAGAACTTGAAATTTTAAAAAAAAATCAAGGTTGTTTAATATCAACAAATGGTTTCTTATCAACAAGTCGTTCAAAAAATGTTGCAATTCAATTTGCTAAAAAATCACCTATACATTTTAATGTTATTCCAGTTTTATATGAAATTGAATGTAATATTAAAGAATTAAATTCAATTATTTTTGCTGATATTACTCAATTAAGTGTTTATGCAAATGAATCTGAAGTTTTATTTGATCTTGGATCAACATTTGAAATTATTTCTGTTAAAGAAGATTTTCATTTAAATCTATGGATTATTAAATTACGAGCTACTGATAATGGAATTAAAATTGCTAAAGAATATATTGAATTAAATAGAAAAGAAGAAGAAGAAACAAATATTGAACTTATATTTGGTAAATTATTAGCTGATATGGGACAATATGATCAAGCATTAAAATATTTTCAAAATTTATTAGTAGATAATCATACAAATAAGAATGATATTGCAAAAGTAAATAATCTTATTGGAACGATCTATTATGATAAAGATGATTTTGAACAAGCTCTTCAATACTATGATTTAGCTTATAATTTAATGATCAATGATAAACCAACAAGAATAAAAGATTCAGTAAAACCATTAATAAATATAGCTGTTCTTTTTCATCGAAAAGGTGATTATAATGTTGCATATGAAGTATATAAAAACTCATTAAATATATTTAATAATTATTATGGAATAGGACATATTAAATCAACTAGAGTATTTATCAATATTGGTAATATATTTACAGAAATTCGTAAATATGCTCATGCATTAGAATATTATCAACAAGTTTTAAAAATTCAACAAAAATTTTTACCATCCTATCATATTGATACTGCTATGACATTGAACAATATTGCAGTTGTTTATCATAAATTGAATGATATTGATCATGCATTAGAATATTATCAACAATCATTGAATATGAAAGAAAAAGTACTTCCATTCGATCATAAAGATATCCGAGTGACCAGAAATAATATTGCAAAAATAAATAAAAAAAAATCTCATCTTCAATTTATAAGTACTGCCCAATCTGCGCAAAAACAATTCCATATTCAACCTAAATCTAAAAGCACACCAATGAACAGTATTATTGATTATGATAAGTCTCTTGATTCAGACAACTTGGTTGGGGGACCTCAACTTCATCTCCCGGTTATCCGTTATCAACAAGATCCCCTCTTAAATCCTCAGCTTCACCATCCATGCATAGTAATATCCGAGAAACCTGGAATAAACAATATACATGATCCATTCGACTACAAAACGGAAGAAAAAAGTATGAGTGATGAAGATACTCCTGAACTTGACCATACAACATCATTCAAGTCACAGTATTAAACCTCGAAACTTTTATCATAATTAAATATATTTTTGATGCTTTATTATGATAATGACAATGACTGATCAAACGAATATCAAATTCAATATTCTATATGTAATATAATCAGGATAAGAATGTATCCTTTATCTTTCTAATTCATTTCAGCATTCGTTTCTTTCTGGTTTTTTTTTGTGCCATTTGTACTTATTTGATGAAATAAATAAATAAGAATAATTTTTTAAAATACATTATAGTTTCATTGAAATTTCATCCCATTGCATTATTCTTAATGATCAAACAACAAGCATATAAATAATCAATCGTCGAATAATGATACTCAATGAAATTAGTTGACTATTATTATTATTGTTAATCAGAATGAGGATTGATAATAAATCTCCGAAAACAGATGAGGAATTCTTCTAAATAAAAATCATTCTGCTGTAAAGTATACGGGTGTGGGTGGGAGTCTATTAGTGTGCGTGTGACTACTCTGAAAAAAAAAGAAGTTTTACAGAACCCTTCGAACAGGTTCTGTAGATTTCGAAAAGTCTCCAAATGTGTCCAAAGTCTCGAAAAAAGGATAAAAAAATTCTACAGAACCTTTTGAAGGTTCTGCGTTTTACCCACTCGCAGAACCATCTCTTACAGAACCTTTTTTTAGGTTCTGTAGAGCAAAATAAGGTTCCGTGGGAAAATACCAAACCTTTATGATTCTGTACAACACCTTGAAGGTTTTGTACAGGGTGGGTGTGGGTATGGGTGTGAATATCCTCTTGTCTACCAACACTCACACCCACACCCAACAACTACTTCTATAAAATGGTAATCTTGATTATAACAAAGAACATCTAAAAAAACGAGAAAACAAGCAGTCGTTTTCGTTGTAAATTTCCAAAGGTTTTTAGAAGATAGCATTAGCCATATGTACGTACATAAAATCATATTATTAGAGTCGTAGGTGGTGAAATCAATGAATTTTGAAAATTAATTTCGATCTTACTTACCAAAGCTTTGAATAGTCTAGAATGATAGCGTTGACTCATTTTTCTAACTTGTGTGCATTGAAAATGCAAACTGTTCAAAGTTTTATGTAATTTTCTTTAAACTAAACAATACATAGAATATCTCTATGTAGTCGTTCATAGTATTTCTTAAAAGCATCGATTAGCCTTATCTATGTGAGAAAATAAACTCTAAGTTCATTTCTAACACTGATCAGAACGTGGCATATCGTCTTTAATTCAATTGATCTAATCGTACATCTGCTGTTTATTATGATGCAATTTATGGCCAACTGTACATACTAATAATAGATTGTTCACTTTAATTCTGTCGAAAATTTTTTCTTCTAATATAACTACTATGAGAAATCAGTAAAAAATGGTAGGTTCAAACATGTTGAAAACTATTTTTAATAAAACATGATATTACCCGAAGAAGAATTCTAGTTTAATGTTATAACCAAATCAGAAGAGACTCACCCATTTTGTAAATATCATAAGTATAAGAATGAGAAATAAATAGTCTATTTATTAACAAACGCATTTTCTTACGGACATACACTGACACTCAGCAGAACGAGAACGATTTGTACCCTGAATATTGAGATAAAATGTTCAATATAATACCTAGCGAAGAATACAAGTAACGTTCGTCAGTGGACTCGCTCAGCTCTTTCTCGTATAACTGCCGTTTATGGACGCTTCTCCAATTTTGTGAAACACGATCTGAAAGGAGTGTTGAAGTGTTTAGGGGTAGAAATTTGGACCCCCCCCCCCCCCCCCCCCCCCCCCCCCCCGACCCAGGCCCCCCCCGCCGCCNGTGACAGACGGGGTTTGGATCCATCACAGACCGTGACAGACGGGGTTTGGATCCATCACAGACCGTGACAGAGAAACTGTAGTTCTAAATCATCAGGTAAACGGTTCGCTACAAATGGATTGCAAAGAAATGGAACAAAACGATTTCCATTTAATTAGTAGCAGTAGATCCATCGTGTTTCACATTTTTAATCCCACAAGGGATTGCGCTAACAGCTTTTTCACTAATCAACATAAGTAATAGTAGCTAGCTCCAGATTGAAATTCATCTTTCAAAATTTTCTCAACTGAAGTTTTTCTATAAACTATGGTGACATTAATGCATTTTACTACTCCTTAACATCGCTAGCTTATTAATACAAACTTCTCTACATCCTTATGTTTTCTTTCAAAAATTCTTTGGTGAATTTCGCCAGAAAAAACACGAATAATAGTAGTTCTTAGTAAAAAACCAAGAGACTTTGCATCCCAGTACTAATCACAAATTTTCCCTTTGAAATGTCGTAAAAAATGTTTATGATTAATAATTCAAAGCAGATTCCAGATTTGGGTTACCCACCCTCGATTACCTTCGATCAAGTTCTATCGAAAACACAAAGAACTAATAATTCATCAATAACACGTTATTAATTAAAATCGATCGCTGATCCGTATTAGGTAGCCCCCCTTCCCCTCAGCCAAGTTTTTGAAAAAAACATTGCTAATAATAATCAATTGAATATCGATCAATTATTAACCAATTAAAACACTCCTCAGATTTTGATTTGTAACCCCTCATCAACTATGGACGAGACTTATAGAAGTATATTAATAATTATCATTAGTGAATGAATAATTCGCTGAAACTAACCTAAGATTCGACCTCCCCACCCTCGATTACTACTTGGACAAATTTTATTAAAAATGTAAATTATTAATTATTAATTAATTATTAATTATTGATTAGTTAATAATGATTGAAAACTAACCTAAGATTCGATCTCCCCACCCCCGATTACCCTTTCGTCAAGTTTTATTAAAAATATTAATTATTAATTAATTAATATTTAATAATTAGTTAATAATTAGTTAAAACTAACCCCGGATTCGAATTCCCCACCCCCGATTACCCTTTGGTCAAGTTTTATTAAAAATATTAATTATTAATTATTAATTAATTAATATTTAATAAATAGTTAAAACTAACCCCGGATTCGAATTCCCCACCCTCGATTGCCCTTTGGTCAAGTTTTATTAAAATATTAATTATTAATTAATTAATATTCAAGAATCAGTTAATAATTAGTTAAAACTAACCCCGGATTCGAATTCCCCACCCTCGATTACCCTTCGGTCAAGTTTTATGAATTGTAATGCATTTTATCGTCACTTTGTTTTGGACCAATCGCTGAAGTGCGGACATACAAGCAAGCAGACAATTTATGTTTGTAAGACTCTTCTCTACGAGAAAGAGAATAGATGCAGCTATGAAAACTCTTTTAAATACATTTGCAAATTTGTTGGCACTTCAATGACAAACTAAAGTATATAACATGCCGAACTTACAGATACTGGACAAGTACTACTAAAATATTTATCGAACCGGTGTAGTCTAATGGTAGGATCATGAGACCTTCAATCTCGTTGTCTGGGTTCGAATCCCAGCGCCGGTAATACTTTTTCTTTTTGTGACATCAGGTATATTTCAACATTCATTTCATCATTTTATCGCATGTAATTTCGCAAGTTTTTATGTTTGCTATGAAATATTCTTCATGACGATAAGAACATACAAAATACTTTGAAAATTCTACTTGATTATCTCACACTTTGTCACAGATATTCCATTGAATAGAAAAATAAATTTTCAAAATACTTTTAAAGTTATCAGAAAATCGATTGCTAGATTTTGCCACTCTGGAGTCTTTTTTTCATATGGTTTAGGTTGAATCATGCGTCACAGAAAGACGTTATATGAGTGAGTTTTAATCAACTTAAGCAATTCGAGTGATCATCGAACGCTTTATAGTAATTTGCATCATTTCGATTTATTTTCTACTAATCTCTGAGACTCACTATATACATCAGTTCTCTAAAAGCATTTGTGAACATGCTGTGTGACTTCAGAGAAAGTAATGAAAAAAACAATTCGGTAGACGATGCCATTATCTATTCATGTGTTATTTCCTGTTTTCCAGTTATCATTGAAAACTGCTTACTCAAGCATTTTTCACAGCAATGAGATAAGAAAAGAATGTACTATCAATGATTATAAACAATAGTAGTGAGGAGATGGTGTAATGATTTCGTGTTGATCTACACACACTTTTGTTGAGAAATCGACACTTCATCCTTTCCTCTGTTTTACATGAAAAATCATCGGCTTTACATTTCTATAATCGCACGGATAAAGTGTCATTCATTCAATTGTTCTTTGTCATGGTCATCGACTTCACAGAACGAGCTAGGAAGTCAGCGTGAACAAGGACGGAAAAGAAGAGTATTAAATAGTATCGAAGTGAGCATATAGACACAAACAAAGATATGAACAATGGAAGGGTGTGGGTGTGGATGATGGTGGTTGTGGGATATTGAACTTTTTTCTTTCTACACCTACACCTACATCTACACCCAGCCATATCTACACTCCATCCCACACACCCACATCCACACTCACATCCCACACCCACATCCGATAGTTGATAATTATAACTTGGGTTAAAATTTATAACTACGGTTGGTACATATAGCTCAACTTTTTAATCATTTTAACTTTTTGAAAACCAGCTTTAACTCCAACAGTGATTTCAACTATTATCCGTTTCAAAATATAAGAGCCATGACCATTTTTTCAATAACTTTTGACAGGAGCAAGATAGAGGTATGCAGTTTTCGCCATTAGAAAGAGAAGGCTTAGACGCATCAATCCATGCTCAAATATGATTGGTTGACAATGCACCAATCAGGTGCAATCTCGATGGAAATGTTTAGCATCCATAGTGGAGACATTTTTCGAGTTAACTCTACTCTTGAAATTGTATACTACTAGAAAAAATTGTTCTCTTTCAATCTACGAAAGACTCACCTTTCTAACTTGTTCCGCTCAAGAGTTATAAGCGTTTTCCTAAGAACCCTGATTTCAGCCAATTGACCTTGGATCAAGTAAACAACTATCTAGGATGGAGTAATTCATCGTGCTGAGTCAGAAGGGGATA